ATACAATATACGACAACCGCCTATAATAAAACAGCAGTCTCCTGCGTATCCTGAATTTGTATCCCTGGAGTGGATGTTATTTTGAAACTTTTAACTGGTCCAAGTGAGCTAACTGATTCTTTAGCAATAAACTGAGACTTCAAAAATAATATTCACTGACACTGACAGCAGCAAGCAAAATATCAGGTGCGTTTTAATCATCCGCTTCTGCTTCCGGAATTGTCGGTTTAGTCGTTTTAACCTGTCAGATTAAAACAAGAAAACTGACAATGGGCCATGTTCACATGTGAGATATGCTGTTTTATAAACTATATTGTAATAGTTAGTCGCTATACAAGTTATTCTAAATAATCAGTTCGTTAAAAAAGCTAAAAGTTTTTAAATTAAGCCCAATTGAAATTTAAAATTTGAAATTATACGTCATCGGGAATAGACCAATCAGCTTGTGTCGAAGTTTTTTTTGTTTTACAAAACCAAGCCAACGAACAAACCTACATACAGAATGTCGAAGTGAACGCACATCTAAGTGACATTTAAAAATTGACAGCACCTAACAACTAACCTTAGTTTTTTGTTTTGGTTTAATTTTATTATTAATCTGCATTTATCTGGGTAAATTATCCTGTGGGATATAGGATATATAAAGGAAGAAGAATATGAATTTATCAGCTGTATTTATAAAAGTTGAATCAAGTATTTTTCCCATTGTAAACGAAAATATGATTACCGAGATGATTACTGCATTTTTTAACAATACTCAGTTTCCAAAAGATAGAAAGGTAAAACTTTATTTATAAATTGTTTTAATGGTAGGTAGTTACAGTTTATATGAAGCAGTACACTTTATAGTAAAACATATTTATCTCAGGTTTTATTTTTAGATCTGCCAAGCAAGAATATGGAGATATTTACTTTTTCCATAAGAGAGAAGGAGACAAATTACACCTAAACATAAAGTACAGCAAAAACCTTATGATGTGGCTGTTTTTTAGTGCACAATGCTTAGGATATGTTGAATCTCAAGGTTTGTAATATTTATTATGCTTTTTTGTTTTTATATCACATATAATAAACAGTATATTTATTCTTATAAATATTTTTTTTCTAATTTTGACATAAAGAGACATTTTTTGTAATCGCAGCAAGTGTTAAAATAATCTAGAAATAGATTTTGTTAGTGAACCTAGTAATAATTATGATACCAAAGAATGCTGCAGAGCACCTATGAAATTTTGAGTTAAAACATGCCATATTTTTAGGCTATTTTTATACCCTTTTCAAAAATTTTATGCTCCTCGTTTTATGCAAAACTTAAAATGCTCTGATAGCTTCGAACGAAGTCAGCAAAGCACCTCTGTTTTATAAAGTTTTTTCTGTAAAAACAGCAACACCATATATTTATGCACTTGAAATATTATATTTTTAAAAAATACATGGTGCTTGCTAACCTTCGAAAGAAGCCAGCAGAGCAATTCGGTTTTTTAAAGCTTTTTTCTAAAAACCACACCCCATTTTTAGACTCTTGAAATATTGTAAAACTTTACTAAAAATTGAAATATTGTAAAACTTTACTAAAAAAATTGCTATTTTTAAATAATACAGGGTGCTTTGTTGGAACAAAGTCAGCAGGACACTTCAGTTTTTTAATATATAAAAACAACTACTTATGACACATGTTTAGGCTGTTTTAAAATCCTAAAAATGTGGTAAGTATATTTGTTTTCAGAAAAAAAACTTTGAAGTCAGGGAATTGCGAATTTTTTTTAAAAATGTCAAATTTCGAATATTTTATAATATTGTAGGAGCCAAAAAATGTGGTGTGGTTTAAAAAAAAACTGGGGTGCTCTGCTGGATTCGTTTGAAGCTAACAAAGCATCCCGTAATTTTTTATTTTATAATACTCAATAGCCTAAAATGAGACATAGCTGTTTAAACAAAAATGGTACTTTTAAAAATAGCAGTTTTTTCGAAAAGCTCTATAATATTTCAAAAATGTGAAAATGTGGTGAGCTTGTTTTTTTTAAGTTTTGAAAATCAGAGGTTCTTTACTGGATTCGTTTAGAGCTAGTAAAGTGCTCGTCTTGTTACATAAAATAAGGCATTTTGTAGCTGGTTATATAGTTATTTTGTAACTGCATATCTAACCCTTTTATTTTTTTCAGGAGGTTGTAAACATGTGGCTTCATAGAAGAAGTGAGGAACCATCTGTAACATCTACTCAGTGTTATTGATAATGATGTACACTTGGCTAGATTGTTAAAGAAACCTCTTCATCCACTACAGGAAAATAAATCAGTACTTTTATATTCTTAGGATTTGTATATATTTTTTATTTGTAAATAAATTGTTTTTTTACTTCATTTTTCTCATTTTTTATTAAAAGGTTAATAAATAAAATTTTCACAGATTTTTATATTTTTGTTTGTAAACAATAATTGAAGTTTTTATTAAAAATCACCAATGTTAATAATAATAACTTAAGTCAATATTATTCTTTCTCCTTTTTTAAAGTTACTATTAATAAAGGTATTACTTTAGCTTGACCTATGATCAATTTTTAATTTTGTGATATATTTGGTTTGACAGAAAAAAAATTAAAACCCTTTGACATTGGTTGTTTTTACTTAGATTTTCATAAAAAATAAATGGAACTGCAAACATGTTTTACTAACGTAATAACGAATAGCAACATGAAATTTTTTTTTCACATTTATCACTGTTGTCATTTTCATAAGAAGGCACACTTTCTGGTTTTTTGAAAAAGGTGGCAAGAACTGTGATATTTTTAAATTTATCACCAGTGATACCACATGTAGTTACCCGATTTATTGGAATATATAGACTTTGCTACCACATTCAACTGAACTTGGTTTTTAATATTTATCACTGTGACATAGGCGTTTTTGTTAAAATGTTTCATTTTAAACTGCTGTAAATAGGTGCCTTTGTTTTGGTAGTTTCAGTCCCAAAAAAATCTATGCATATACAGGTACTCATTCCTCTTCAATTTGCTCGAAAAGTTAAATTTTTATCAAAAATTACATTGGCTGTTTAAAAACTCATTATAATCCCTGAAATGTGATAATTAGGTAAATTAAATTAAAAAACAAAAAAGTTTAATAAATTAATATTTACTCTTACAAAATAGGTTCTTGTAAGTTAACAAGCAATTATGCAGATATTACTAAGTAAATGTACTTGCTTAAAATTCACACACGAATGTGGTTTTAACATGTTAAATTAACTAACCCTTCTTATAACTCTTTCCACATGTATTCTTAGAGATGCTATTCTTTTACTTAATTGTACATCTTCTTGAGAAGTTTTTTCATTCTGTGATACACTAGGTGTGGCTTTACTAAAGTGTACCCCATGTTTTCAAGTAGCTGATTATTCTGAAACCCCTATCTGCCATTATATGGGATCCAGGAACCAGTTTGTTTAAATACCCACATTTTTCCATTATTTCTTTATCACTAGTTCTTCCACAAAATGATGAATAAATTCGGTATCTTCAAAACTTTCAGGAGATTCTGCATTTTCTTCCAGAAGGGTTTTTAGGTTATACACCTAAGAATTTATAGTATCCTTATTTTCAATTTCCTGAAGGGGACAATTAGCAGAAATTGCTGCTACATCTTGATAATCCGGTGTATTTTTATTAAAAAGTTCACGAGAAACATCGCTAGTAGAAGGTTGATTTTCTTCTTTCCAAATTTCTAGGAACACTAATAAATATTTTTGAAGATGAATGTGAATCATTATCACATTCTGGAACAAAACACTTTTTCGTAGTCATAATATTTATAAAAAGTACAAAATTAAACAATCAAATTCCAAATAAATTCTTGATGGAGACACTATGATGACAGATGCCATACACAGTGCTGCCATTTTGCCATTTTCTGAATTATTAAGTGACTTTTAAAACAATGAAACCTTAAATATGGTAAAAGTTTAAACAGAAATAATACTTTAAAAAAACATTTGATATTATATATTTAAAAGATATTTGTTTAACGATGTTTTAGAAGTCTAAAAGTAAGAAGGAGTACACAAACGAACGTACATCACTTCTCGTAAACCTTCTAGCCGGCAACGTTGTGCGCTAGCTCCTATTGGTCTATTCCCGGTGACGTCATAAATTTTAAAAAAATTCATAACTCCGGCAAATGAATAGATAAAAAAAAATAAAAAAAATGTAATTTTATTTTCAACTCTATTATTCATAAAAAAAATTTCAAAATTTTTGAACATGCCCCATTCCGAAGCAGAAGCGGATGATTAAAATGCACCTATTAAAAATATTGCGCCAAGATGTAAGCAACACGTAATAAGGGTTCAAAATGGCAGAGTTTTCTATCTCCTTTTAAAAGGCACTCAGAAAGCTGCGTAGTGCGACCATTCTTTGTATAGTAAAAGAAAATCAAAGTATGTGCCTATTTGTTAATACGTATTTCTGAATGACAGACACCATTTTTCAAAGTTCTGTCAATCTTATCTGATTTTTTCTTATTCTAAAAAATAATAAAAAAAAAAATAAATAGCTCGAAAATATTTGCACAAAATTTGGCGTCTATATGTAAAAAAATGTGTTTTTGGTGATATCAAAAATTTGTGTTTTCAAATAAAAAAAAACGAGGTAACAATATAACTAGACTGGTAATGACGTTATAATAATTTTACGTACGTCAATATTATGCGCATTTTAAAAAACCAAATCGACATGTACGAGCATTTTTTTTGTTAAATGAGGTGTTCTGCCAATTTTGTCCACACCTTTAGCCCTCTGGTGTAAATATATAGTTTGTGTTTTAAGATTTAACGTGTTTTAAGTTATTTAATAGTATACTATGCGGCAACGTCTGAAATTTTAAACAAGGTCAGTCATATAATAAAATAAAATTGCACATTTGTGCAGATAAAGTAATATAAATATAACCAAACAAAAATAAATACAGTAATAATTATTGTACTTTTATATTTTAGTAGGTACTTACCTGAATTATTAATTGACGTAGTTTAATTTTGATCTTATTAAATGGTTCAGCAAAAAATCAATAGCTATAGTATATATTTGAGTACAGGTAATCATCTATTCTTCTGCTAAAAATTTGATTAAAAACATTTTAAATTGCACCTACTATAAATAACTATGATCAAATAGTCGTAAAATCTACATACCTAGTAGAACAGCGGACATTAATTAAATTAACCACTTTCTGAATTGGAGGTTGTTTGATTCCATTAATTCATTTAAAATTGAACTGGTGTCATGTCGTAACATTGAATACGGAATTTAATATTTGCGATTTTTAAAAATAAGATAACAAATCACTGATTAATTATAGACATTAGTTAGATATATCAATACGTATACGGGGTCCCTACTATTTCATATGGACAATATTGATGAGTATCAAACGATAACAGATAGAAAGTTAAATTAGATAAAAGTTGCGCTGTTTTGTACTCAACTTTTAGATTCGTTAATAAAAATTGTTTTTTTAAAAAAATTACAAAAACTTTACGAAAAGCGGAACTTTATTTTATTACTTTACTGTATACAAGTTAAAATATTAAAGATACAAAATGCCGGCAACGAACTAATTTTGTTACCTCTAGATCTTGGTGGGGCCTTTTTTGTACTTGCCGCGTCTGCATAATTATTCTACTAGTGTTTCCTCCGATTGTGTTATTATAACTCTTCCACCCTTAGAGGAGAATCCGAGGGCTGGCCTTTAGATTTTCTTCCTTGGAGCTCTTCTTTGATGAACTCTTTCTATATTTTCTATATGAATAAATGCAAAATAACAAACAAAATGCAATAAAAATATAAATCAATATAGCCCAAACACTAATAATGTTAAAATGGATCAGATTATCAAAAATATGTTTTACTTTTTGTTTTTGAAAATTTAGGGAGTCTTTAAGAGTGAGTAATTGTTCCAAATCAATACTATTAAATTTAATAAGTTTAAGGTAAATAGGATTTTTATCATTAGAGTTTTTAATATTATTAACTTTAGGAAGTTATACTATTTGAATTTCACTTTTTGGCAGTTCGTTACTACGTAAAACTATTTTTCCTACGACCACTTAGGAAAGTGACACATATCACACTATATAGTCCTATGGAAAGTGCCCTATATCACACGCGTATGAATAAGAATTTACTTTCCACCCGAGTGAGAATATGTTACTTTCCGCAGTAGTTGTCACAAAATGTCAAACAGCAAATTTCCATTTTGATCTATGTAATATCCATATTAATACTAAAATCGATATGATTGTTAAATTATTGAAATTGTTGTAAATTAGATCCTAGATATTTATCTTTAACAATTATTATTAAAATAATTTTAAAATAATGTTTGCTCTTTATTCTGGTTGAATACATAATCCATTAGATCATTCAATTGACACAAGGGCTATTAGCTCAGGTGGTTAGGACGTCGAACTTATCAACTTTGCCATTTTTCGACCGCGTTCAATCGATGGTTCAAATCCTGGCGTGGCAGAAATTTTTTTTGTTTTTTTTTTGTTTTTTTTTCTAGTTTTTTTTTTTTGTTTAAAAAATATGAAAATTGAATAAATACGATTATTATTGTTGATTATTTTTTTAAATACAGTTTAATTATTATAGTAACAATAACCTTGGTTTTACATTTTTTTGATGATATTATTTTGTGGTCGTAGGAAAAATATTGTACATCACTTGTGTGAAAAGTGATTTTCCACACTCGTGTGATAGTCGCACTCGGCTTGCGCCTCGTGCGACAATATTTCCCACTCGTGTGAAAAATGTCACTTTCCACACTCGTAATGTAATATACTATTACCTATTCTAACACTACACTTATTGATTAATTCTAACAAAAATGTTCCTTCTAATGGGACATTGTCATTGTCCGCAGATTCTATGGGCCACTCTGTCCTGAGGTGAGATAATCATCTATTTATTTTGACGAATTTTTTAAATTTTTATGTCCACAATGTCGAGAGGGATAGTTTGGCAGTTGGAGAGGTTCTTGTAAAACCTTAAAAAGGAAACTTCGCAGGGGGCGTCTTCTTCTACTGGAGTTGGTACTGATTCGTGACAGATAAACTCTTGGTTACTAATTTCTTTACATTCTGAGTCAAATGACATGACATTTTGCTCGTTTAGGATGAGGAATTTCGAATTTGGAATAATCATTTAAAAAAGGTTGCTTTTAGGAGTAGGTAAAGAGAAAAGTTGATATAAATCGTATTTTTGTCTCTCTATGATAAAAATAATTTATTGTTTTTACTATAACTTGTAATTTGCATTATTTTTTCGAATTTGAGTATTTTGTTTAAAATTGGTTCAAATGGTAATTTGTTGTTTAATAAATTGTTATTGATTAATTTAATATGGTTGATCAAATCTTTAGGATCTATTATCGAATTAGGGAAAACATTTATTTTGGAAAATGTGATAGCGGTTTTAATTTTTTCTAGTAAATCATAAATATTTTGATATAAAATTGATATCTGATTTGTGACTTCTTGAATATAGACACTTTCAAAAGTTTGTTTATTTTGGATTTGAGCAACAACACACTCTGTCACGTCAAAGTCAAAACAAATTTAACAAATATTAAATTGAATTTTGAAAATAAAAATTATAAAAATCATTAAAAGATTTATAAATTTTGATTAATTGATAGGTTAGTATATTAAACTTTATTAATTTTAATTTTTTACTGTTTAAAAGTAGCTCAAATCTATATCTTTGTCACTAGAGACACTTTTCACTTTCATCGCTCATTATTCATTAATAAGTCAACAGATGCACATATGCAATAATATAAAAATAGTGATAATTAGACCTAGGAATATATGCACCCAAAAAGTAGTTAAATATGTGCATATATATAAGTTATAGAGTCAATAACCCTGAGTCAGCAACCTCGTGGATGAACCTTGGAACTGCTGAATTTGCATTAGATTAGTTTTATGTCATTCCACCTTAGGTGTAATGCCACCTGTTATATTATATTTCCTTTCAGTTAATTCAGTTTAGAATCTGTGTTTGATACGATAAGTTGTACTTTAAATAAAATAAATCTTTTTAAAAAACCAAATACCGAGTGTATTTAGATAAGTGGCGCAGTCAGTAGGATGGTCAAACGGGTTTATTGTACATAATTCCTGGTTCGTTTCTACGATTTTTTTGACCATTTTGAACTTTAAAACGTGTTTAAGAAGTTTTCCAGTTGGGTGAATTGAGTAGCCTAACGTGAAGAACGCTATTCGAGTTAAGAAAAGACATTCAAGTGAACATTGAAGAGTCTACCCGGTCCAGTCCTTGGTTGACGACGGAAATCGAATAGATGGAGTGGAAACTACTTTTACTGTAAGTGTTTTATATGTCGTTTAGAGAGCAACCTTTAATTATCAATTCTGAAAGTTCAGACAATTCTGATTCAAATACAGATTCTGACTCAAATTTAAACAAAACAAATTTAGACATTTCAAATATTTTAATTTCAAATAATAAATTTAAAATGGCTCCAACAATTCCAGAATTAAAAGATAAATATTTAGATATGATCCCAGATTTCTATGGTGATCCCGCCTTGCTTCCTAGATTTATAGAAGTAAGCGAAAAATTAGTTAGGAAATTTTATAATACAGTAGATATAAACGATTTTCAAAATGAGTATTTAATGTCTAGTATTTTAGCGAAAGTAAAAGGTGAAGCTGCCAAAAATATATCGTCTTGTACGATAAGAAATTGGGAAAATTTAAAAGCTGCTTTATTGAATACATATGCAGATAAAAGAGATATTTATACCTTAAGCTTAGAAATTTCAGCATTACAACAGGGTAACGATTCTCCTTTCCAATTCTTCAATAAAATACAGCAACTTTTAAATCTCCAAATAACCTTATTAATGACTTGTTCTAACGAAAATGAACAAAATGTTTTAGGGAATTATTTTAGAAATCAGGCTCTCAGAATATTGTTACGCGGACTAAAAGAACCATTAGGTACATTAATGCGAACAAAAAACCCTTTAGATTTAAATTCTGCTTTGAATACATTAACGAATGATTTTCAAATTGAAATGGGACCTTATAATAATAGTAATTATAGTCCAAGATATAAAAATATTAATCATAATTACCAAAATAATCATTTACTTAGAAATAGACAAAATTTTCAAAATAATCAATCAATAAACTGGCAACCAGAAATGCCAAGTTCATCTCAAAATTATCAACAATTAAATAGAAATGTAGGTTTAGTGCCTCGAAATCAACCTAGTACAAGTAGAGGTCCTAATACAAATGTTTTCAGACCTAATCCGAATCAAAAATTCCAAAATCCAACACCCATGAGTGTAAATACTTCAAATTCCTTTAGACCTACAAGAAATTTCCAAAATCGCAACTATTCTCAAAACCAAAATTCTTTTGCAAATCAAAGGAAAAATTTTATTTCTGAAGAACTACATAACTTAGATAATACAGAATGTCCCAACGAAAATATTAATGATGATTTTTTAGAAGAAAATGCCTCGGAAAACAAATAAAACAAGTCGAATTATTAAACTTAACTAACAGTGAGAGTGAATTACCGTACATAATATTCCCAGAAAATAATTTAAGAGTTCTTATTGATACTGCCAGTACAAAATCCTTTGTTGTGCCAGAAATTGCCGACAAATATTTTAAAACATCCCTTATACGCAAACCATTCCAAGTTTCTACCGCTTTAGGAACGAAACAAGAAAATTATTGTACAGTAATTCCATCCTCAAAAATATTTAAACATAATAAACCAATTAATTTCGAATATTGTATTTTTAAGTTTCATAATCATTTTGATTGTTTATTAGGGTTAGATAATCTTAAAAAATTAAATGCAAAAATTGACCTAATAAACGACTTATTAATTATCCCTTATAGTCAAATCAAAATAAATTATTTTAAGATAAATAGTGAGTGCACGAATTGTATAGTAGTGCCACCACGAACAGAACAAATTATTAAATTAAATATAAGTAATGTTAAAAACGGTGACGTAATAATACCGTATACAAAAATTGATAAATTAGAAATTCCTGAATGTTTAACAAAAGTAGAAGATAGTACAGCTATATGTACCATCTTAAATTCATCTGAATCCTATTTTAAAGTTGACCTAAGTCCAAGTATAGAAGTTGAAACGTTCGCTGAATACGAACACACAACATGCCCAAACTTAAATACAATTTACACAGACCAATTTAAATTTGATATTTCAAAAGTCCGAACAGATCACATGAACTCA